TGTGGGTGTGTGGGTGTGTGGGTGTGTGGGTGTGTGGGTGTGTGGGTGTGTGGGTGTGTGGGTGTGTGGGTGTGTGGGTGTGTGGGTGTGTGGGTGTGTGGGTGTGTGGGTGTGTGGGTGTGTGGGCGTGTGGGTGCGTGTGCGTGTGCGTGTGCGTGTGCGTGTGCGTGTGCGTGTGCGTGTACGTGTGCGTGTGCGTGTGCGTGTGCGCGTGCGTGTGCGTGTGCGCGTGCGCGTGGGTGTGTGTGTGTGTGTGTGCGTGTGAGTGTGCGTGTGCGTGTGCGTGTGCGTGTGCGTGTGCGTGTGCGTGTGCGTGTGCGTGTGCGTGTGCGTGTGCGTGTGCGCGTGCGTGTGCGTGTGCGTGTGCGTGCGTGCGTGTTGTGTGCGCGTGCGTGTGCGCGTGCGCGTGCGCGTGCGTGCGCGTGCGTGAGTGCGCGCGCGTGTGTGCGCGTGCGCGCGTGCGCGGGCAACCAAGGGCCCACGTCCCGCAACTAGGAGCTACGGACCGCGGCCTGAGACCAGCGGGGCCCCCATGGGCCGCTTTGGAGCCCCTGGGCAAAACCAGCACCTCGCCAGCAGGCGATCCCCAGATCACCGAAAGGGGCGCCTCCGAACGCCACAGAGGCCAGGGTCAAGGACGAGTAAACGCTGCCCCCTTGCCACACTAGAGCGGCTTGCCCGAGCGCGGGTGCCTGCCACTTAGCAACCTGCCCCGACGGCGAGCCTTCTCCTTCAGACTAGGGGTGGGGCACAACCTCGGGGCAGGCAAGGGCCCCGTGCATTCTTGCAACAGTCCCTTCGACAGTTGCCGACCCGAGAGGCACCCACAGCGTCGGCAAACGGTGAACGGCGGGGCAGAGACAACCTCCTGGCCCCGCTCGCGAAAGACCTCGACTTCCTGCCCCACCCCACCCGTGGCCGACCCCGCCTCGCTCCTCTCCTCCTGCCGGGCAGCGGCGGCCGCGGCGGCAGCGCAGCCGCGGGCGGCCTGGCCCCCCATGCGCGGGGCCCGCGCTGCCGCTGCAGGCGGTGGCAGGGGCGCCGCAGGCGCCGTCGTCGGCGGGGCAGAGCTGCTCGCCCGCGTACATTGCGCAAAATCACCTGCCCTCCCCGCCACCCCGCCCGTCGACTGGTCGCCTTCCCATCCTCCACCCTCCTCCAGCCCCTCCAGGGGGGCCTCCAGCACAGCTCCCACGGGGGGCTCAGGAGGGGGAGGGAGGGGGGGGGGGGGGCAAGGCTGGAGACGGGAGCGTCGGGCACGCCCCTAGCAGCACAGAGAAGACGATCGGCGGCGGCCGCGCGACAGGCCTCGCCCGTCTGGCTTCCAGCAGGGGGCGCCGAGGGGGGAGGCACTGGGATCCGCGCCAGCGCCCTCCGAGACATTCCAGCCTTGCGACGGGGCCGACGGCTCGGTCGAGGCCAGCGAGCGGGCAGATCGATCGCGCTCGAAAGCCTGGGCCGAACGAGTGCCATGCAGCCTGCGTCGGGACCTCAGCGGGGCCTCGAGAGGGGCAGAGTCGGGCTCACGGCCTCTGGGCGCGCCACTCGCCTCAACTCTCGAAGAGGGGGCTGACGCGGCGGCCACGGTGGCAGCAGCAGCTAGGGCCAGGGCCACAGCAGGCGACGGCTGTGGGGGGGGGGGGGGGGGGCAGGGCTGATTCACGCAGCACGCATGGCAGACTGGGCCCGAAGCCTGGCCAGGTGAGACGCCACACAAGGGAACGATTCTAAGCACCGCTTGGTCTCGGCCGTGCGAGCAGGTCGATTGCACGCCATGCAACGGACCCCCCCTTCCAGGGAGCTCTGCAAACTCATGCGCGACAAACCTGATGGGACTTCGGAGGCTGAGGAAAGGGGGGAGGGCGCCGAGGGTCAGCTTGAGCGGGATCCCAAGCGCCTGAACTAGCCACCCGCGCTGAGGCCCAGGCCACGAAACGGGAATCTGACAGGCCTCCTCCATTCGAATCTTTAGATTGCGAACCAGGCTTCTGGCGGGGCGGCCCAGATCTAGGGCAACGCTAGCAAACAGGTCCGCCCAGCCATTCCCCAACCAGTCCTGGGGGTCCAGGTTGAGCGCAATAGCCTGGTCCAGAGTCTTGTGCGAGGGAATCCACTCGAAAAGCGGCGGTCTCCTGTTCTGCTTAGCCACATTGGTGCGGATTGCTCTCCAGAGGGCGGCGTGGCGAGCCGAGGCGGACGCATCGCACGGGCTCCACCTTCGCGGCTCTGGCCACCGTCTGCACCCCTGGGAGGGATCCGAAAATGGCCTTGCAGGGCCTGCCGTCTTCACACAGCTGGACAACGGCCCAAGAACATCTGGCAATCTCAGGAGTGCCCATGCCGGACCCACCTCCATCCATGTACAGGCGGCCACCCCACGGCAGCTCAGGGTCTCCCCAGTGGTGCACAAATTCGGGGCACATGGGCGGGGTCTCAGCAGGAGGAGGCAGGAGCGGAATGGCGTACGCGAACCTAAGGGCCTCATGAGGATCCTCAATGGCAGTCTCAAGGGCCTGCTGGGCCAGACGCTCACGGGTCTTGACCGCCGCCCCAGGAGCTTCCGAGTTATGCAGGCTAGGGTCCAGGAGGGCAGGGCACTTGTACCAACGGTGGCCTTGGGTTTCACGCTCCGCTCCGCATGCCAGGCATTTGCCGTCAGATATGAACTTATTCTCAAACTTTTCTGACGAGGCCACATCGCGTCAGTCCAGACACACTGCAGCGAGCCTCGTTCGGCAGGATCCCGAACGGCCTTCTCGACGCACCGCCGGATGCCGCGGCACAAGAGCTGCTCGCCGTTGTGCTCTGCGATGTGGCTCGCCGCCCGCGCCAACAGCCAGCGCGTGGCCCCCTGGTTGACGTGGTCTCGGACATCACCAGGTGACATCTCCAGGAGGCTCATGTTAGCGCCGAGGTCCGTCTCGAACGTGATTGCCGAGCTGAGCCGCCAACCAATACGAGCCAGGGTCAGCCACAGGGCGCTGACGGGCCCTCTCACTCTGCCCCAGCTGGGCTGTGTGCGCATCTGGCCGTCCACGTAGTGCCAAACGTCCGTGAGCGACTGCAGCGACACCAGTTTCTCCCAGACGTGCGTGGAGTACATGAAGGCGACGCTGCTGGTCGCGCGGTAGAGTGGGTCGTACAGCGCGTAGTCCTGCATGAGCATGCCCATGCTGATGCTGCCCGTCGGTCGCACGCCTGCAACCATGGCCGCCACCGTCCTGATCTGCTTGAGTGCGGCGTCGGCATTGCCGCTGACGGTGGCGCCGTGCGCAGCTGAGGGGGTGAAGCCGGCCATCTGGAGTCGGGTCATCCGCCTGGCCCCCACTGCTTTCTTGAGGATCATGGACCGCCTCACTCGCCGTCGGAGCTGCTCCAGTCGCTCAGCTTCCTGGCCTCGTCTGACACGCGCACCCCCCAACTCATTCATGTCCGAGGTTGCGAATCCATGGTAGCTCCGTGACCCGACGAGCCCATGCGGCCCACCGAAACCTCTGCGCGGCACGGCTGGATGAGGCCACGTAGCCGAGCTTCTTGATCTGGATGGGCAGCTTGAGGGACTCGAGCTCATGGGTGAGCTGGTCGATGCCTTCGCCTAGCTCCGACGTGCTGCGATGCTGGGGTCCAGCCCATTGTAAAGTCACGTCGTCCACCAACTGTCTAGGCTTCAGCGTTGGGCACAAATCCGTGACCCGCAGCATCGCCCTGTGCATGAGCACTGCCAGCAGCGTGGTCGCTTGTGAGCACCCTGCCACGACGCCTTGGTACGATGTGTACAGGTCGCTCTCGCTGCCGTGGGCCCGAACGACTCGTGGCTGGCAGTGCAGCTGGACCAGTAGCTTCCCACTGGGAGGCCAACGGTCTCCGTGCGCGACTCCACAAGCGGACCACCGTATTGGGCAGCCCGGTCAACCTCATTCCTCCTCCAGCCTTGGGCAACCTGACCAAGACCGTGACGATGCGCTGCGGCGGCCATCCAAGGTGATGCTCGCAGGCATGGAATAGCAGTGATAATACCAATAGCGCCTCGTCAGAGAGGACGCCCAACTGCTTCGGGTGGAAACTCGTTTGGCTAACGGCTGTGCCCAGCTTGAAGGAACGAATAGCCCCGCGGAGGTCCTGCACGGTGAGATGTAGGAGATCTGGCCAATGTTCAGCTCCAGGGGGCAGTGGCACCGCGCCAAGCTGGTGGTGCTCCCAAATGGCCTTCCAGTCGCCTAGCTCGGTGTTGGCAAGGTCGCGCGGGTGGCCACTGACGTTGGCTCGGGTGGCTTCGACCTCCTGCTTCGGCTTGGCGAATCGGTGGCAAGCCCTGCACCGCCTGAGAACTCCTCTCTCGCCCGAGAAGTCCACGCTCTGGTACACTTCGCCTCCGCCTCTGCTGTGAGCTGCTTAGCCTTTGCGATGACGTCCTGCAACTTGGCCTCCACGGTGCTGCGCGACAGCAGCTCTGGGCCCGATTGCATCATCTGAAGAGCCCCCTCATCTAGCTGCCTGGGGATGTGCTGCTGCTTGCTGATGCGATTGCAGAACTTCTCGACGGCGATGAGCTCCGCCGCCAAACTGTGGATCCACTTGCGATGCTGCAAGCCGTGGAAGACCATGCCTCGTGCGGCTCTTGGAGGACGTGGAGGGGGAGCGCGGCCTGCTTGTTCGCCTGAGCGTTGGTCCAGCCACTACCGCTGCTGCTCAAAGGCGCGTAGGTGCATGTCGACCGGCTATCCCCACTCCTCCTGGGAGCTGTCGCGCAACTGCTGCAGGTGGGCACGGTAACGCCTGCGGCTTCGGCTGCCAGAGCGGTAGGCCTCCTCGCACATCTCCCGAGCCCGCTGCCACCTCCTGGCCTCGCGAGGGAGGTCTTGATCCCAGTCGCCCTCATCCCACAGGGCGTTGTATACTGGGCCGCGCAGCTCCTCGGCTGTGTACGGTACACACCACCCCATCCAGTCGTTGAGCACATCCTGCTCGGTCTGCTGGTCATTGAGTGGGTCCCCTATCCAATGCTGAGTAAACCTATTGAGTTCCCGTTGGCAGGCTGCCTGGAGTATGCGAGCAGCCACTCGATCAGGGTCTTTGCCACGATCTGCGGGCTGAACCTGGCGATCTTCGTTGTAGCTCACTTCGGCGATGTCACCACCAGGCCCATGTGGGTCACCAGCCACCAGCCCATTCTGATAGGATTCGGCATCCAGCGGCGGCGGATGGAGCTCACGGAGCAGGTCCTGGTCGTCTAGCATTGCGTCGAGCTCGTCGTCGAGGGCCAGCTCCCCGCCCATGGTGCTCCGCCTCGGTCCGTGCGCGAGGGCATCGGCCACCCCACTGCCGTGGGCGGCGCTCGGTCTTACAGGGAGGGCATCGGGGCGAGCGATGCAGCGCCTCACCAGGCCGCCAAGGGGAGCGGGTTGCGCGAGGGCATCGGCCACCCCACCGCTGTGGGCCTCGCTCGGTCTTGTAGGGAGGGCATCAGGGCGAGCGATGCAGCGCCTCACCAGGCCGCCAAGAGCATCCTCCTGTGCGAGGGCATCGATCACCCCACCGCTGTGGGCCTCGCTCGGTCTTATAGGGAGGGCATCGGGGCGAGCGATGCAGCGCATCACCAGGCCGCCAAGAGCATCCTCCTGTGCGAGGGCATCGATCACCCCACCGCTGCGGGCCTCGCTCGGTCTTATAGGGAGGGCATCGGGGCGAGCGATGCAGCGCCTCACCAGGCCGCCAAGAGCATCCTCCTGTGCGAGGGCATCGATCACCCCACCGCTGTGGGCCTCGCTCGGGCTTACAGGGAGGGCGACGGGGCGAGCGTCGCTGCACCTCCCCAGGCCGCCTTCAGCATCTCCGTGTGCGAGGGCATCGGCAACCCCACCGCTGTGGGCCTCGCTCGGTCTTACAGGGAGGGCATCGGGGCGAGCGACGCAGCGCCTCACCAGGCCGCCAAGAGCACCCTCCTGTGCGAGGGCATCGACCACCCCACCGCTGTGGGCCTCGCTCGGGCTTACAAGGAGGGCGACGGGGCGAACGTCGCAACACCTCACCAGGCCGCCAGGAGCATCGTCATGTGCGAGGGCATCGGCCACCCCACCGCTGTGGGCCTCGCTCGGTCTTACAGGGAGGGCATCGGGGCGAGCGATGCAGCACCTCACCAGGCCGCCAGGAGCACCTCCGTGTGTGAGGGCATCGGCCACCCCACCGCTGTGGGCCTCACTAGCAGCGTACCCTTGCCCCTGGGCGCTCGGGGCGCGGCTGCTCTCGCCATCGGCGAGCCCACCTGGGCCAGCAGTCGCAGCCGGCGTTGGGGCCTGCAGCCTGGGGTGCACCTGGCCACCTTGCCGTTCACTGAAGTGGTCCTGTGGGATGTTGAGCTTGTCCACCGTCTTGGTCACATACTCTCGAACTTGCATGACATGCTGGACCCACCTGGCCGCTGCCTTCCACGCGGTGACGTGGGGACCATGTCGGGCACGTCTGGCTGGAGTCCCCCCCTGGAGATGTCGCACGCGCTGCTGGACTGGGCCCCCTCGGCCTACGTAGTACTGCTTGCGCTGGCCGACGATGTCGTGCCTGCCCGCCAGGTCCTCCTCGTTGCCTCGTATGACCAGGTCCCATGCTGTGGCCAGCTGGGGCAGCGTCTGTGCCCGATCGATAGATAGGTAAACCTGTTCCCAGCCATGCCAAGGAAAGCGAGCGCACCCTACGGGCAGCTGCCGAGGAAATGGCCTCGGCTCATCCAGCTCGCGGGCGATCGGTGCTCGGCGTGCTTGGCGACAGTCAGCGTGACGGGTCGATGCGGCCAACTGATGGCCGACTGCGATGCGTCCACCTCGAACGCCACCCCGTGGATCATGGGCCCGTAGGCGAGGAAATAGTCCAGCGTCGTGGCAGGCGCCGCCTGCATGCAAGTCGGCCCCCGTGGATCCACGCATCTGGCGTTGGCCAGTGGGGGCCAGTCGTGCTCCAGCAGCTCCTGCGGGGACAGATTGAAGTCGCCGCCGACCACCCAGGCTAGGCCAGGTCCCGCGGCCACCCGCTTGACATACTGCGCGACTTGCCACGTCAGCGCCAAGTTGCGAGGCGACCTGCCCTCTCCTGTGGAGGTAGAGGGCCACCGCCACGAAGCCGCCAGGCACTGCAGAATGGACATGTGCAGCCACGGCTCTGCCAGGCACGATGATGCCATCGTCCAGCAGGGGCGCCTGGGTGACGGTGATGTCGGTCTTGGCCAACACGGCCACCCCGCCTTCCGTGCTTCCAGCAGTGGTCTGGATCGCGGGGCACCAGACTCCTCGCCAGCCCGCATCCCAGGCGCCCCCCTGCACCTCAGGGAGCTTCTCGGCGCACGCGTGGTGCTCCTGCGCGATGACCACGTCGCTGGTGCAGTCGACCCGGTACTTGGTCAAGGTGCCAAACGAATTGGCATTCACTGTGGTAATCTGTCGGTTCGTCCTCGCCATGGTCGGCAATGCGAGGTCCTCAGATTGCGCGTGGCTTCTTGACCACCTTCCACTTCGGCGCGGCCAAGCGGATGCGCTCGAAGGCGGCCCGCAGCTCTTCGTCTGAGGCGTCTGCAGCACCAGGGGAATCAGCGCCAGACTCACGCAGGAAATCTCGAAGCTCTTCAGCAGAGACCTGGTTGACCGACTCTTCCTCCTGGGCCTCCTCTGCAGCCTCGCCCGTGGCATCGCCCTGCTGCTGCGCGGTGGATTCCGCGACGCGCCTGTCGCCCTCCCCCCGCTGAGTTTGGGCCTGCTGCTGCTGGTCGCGTCGGCGCCGGCGGAGCTTGCCCTCAAGCGCAACCACCTCATGCTGCAGATCAGGAGCAGCCCCAGCAGCAAGCAGCACCTGCTCCAGCTTGGGCAGCGTCCAGCTGCTCTCGTCTTGTCCTGCTGCAGCTCCAGGCGGCTCCGTGGGCGGCTGCGGCATGGCCCCCAAGAGCTGGACACGTTGCTCCTCGAGCTCGAGCAACTGCTCGCGGGACTCTGCGAGTGCGGCATCCTGCTCGGCGATCTCCGCTTGCAGGGCCTCCAGCTGCACCTGCTTCGATTCCCGAGCATGCTGCTGCTTGGTGATCTGCTGTTCGACCTTAGTGATTTCGAAGCCGAGGGTCTTGATGCGCTGCGAGGGCGGCTTCTCCATGAACAGCTGCGCGCGCAGCTTGGTCTGCTCTTGCCTGCACTGGCCCACCAGCTTGGCCACCTCTGGAGCATCGACCCCCACCAGCTGCCTGAGAAGGCTGTCGAGCTCATCCAGCCTCCTCTTGGCAGCCGATTCGGCACCTGGTTCATCTCCCCCCTTCTCGGCGTCGGTGGTCGGCGCGCTGGCCGAGGGAGTCTTCGCCTTCGCCAGCTTGAGCTCCGCGGTGAGCGACCGCGCCTGCCTCTGCATCTCAAGCAGCTGCGCCGAGATCGATCCTGCGCCCTTGCCTTGAGCACCTCCTTGGGCCCAGGGCGCTGGCT